ATGATTTTTTTTTTTTTTTTTAAATCAGATGGTTGCTGAGAGTGCTTATGTAGGAAACATGTAAGAGAGGACACAGGACACCAGTTAGGAGACCATGAGGGTAGTCCTAGTGAGAGATGGTGTTGGCCTGGATGATGGTGGTGGTGGCAGTGGGAATGGAGAGAAATAAAACTGAAGGAGAAAAAGAACTAAGACAGGAGGTGCCTGTTATTTATGACTTATCAACATGCAAGACCCAGTAGTGTTTCAGGGCATGTTTTCTACACATCTTGAACTTCAGTGCAGTCCACTGCAGATGTTTCTGAAATGTTTGAAATCATTTTGGCTATAGAAGGAAGCAGGACTACTGAAGTCATGTTTGCTTAGAAATTAAGGTGGAAAGCAACACTGTGAAGGCAGAAATGTGATATAGTAAACTGATTAAAGAAGACATGTTAAAAAGAGAAAACAAATTTTCATGAAGTGGATTTCAACAAATTCAGGCTTTCCAGGGAAGGTTGCAAAAATGTGTCTTTTAAAACTAAGTTGCGCTTAACCCAAGACTTGGTATTTTCAATAGCTTCATATGCATGTGAAAGCTGGACAATGAGTTAAGGAAGACCAAAGAATTGATGCATTTGAGTTGCGATGTTGGCAAAGAATACTGAATGTACTGGACTGCCAGAAGAATGAACCAATCTATCCTGGAAGCAGTATGGCTGGAATGCTCCTTAAAAGCAAGAACAACCAGACCTTGTCTCTTGTACTTTGATCATGTTGTAAGAAGGGACCAGTCTCTAAGGAAGGATATCATGCTTGGTAAAGTAGAGGATCAGCGAAAATAGATCTCTATGAGACAGACTGACACAGAGGCTGTTAATGATGGGCTCAAGCATGGCAATGGTTGTGAGAATGGGACAGGACTGGGTTCATTCTGTTGAACACAGTGTCGTTATGAGTTAGAATTGACTGGATAGCACCTAGCAACAGTAACAACAGGAAAGGTAGAACAAGGGTTGTAAAAATTCACTAAGACTCAGTGGACTTTGAAGTTTTCAGAGATATTAAAGGAAAGGATAATGCTTAAAAAGACTGCTATATTTACACATTGTGTAGTAGACACTCAAATGTATGCCGTATCACATCAGTAGAGCTGGGCATGGGCTACTCAGCTATGGTGCTATATAGATAAAGGGCCAGTGAGAAGGCAGTGGAAACGGAAATGGAATGCAGAACTAGACCAACCCATACAAGCAGAGCAAGACAACAGGTGCAGGGGGCATCCAACCATCTGCATCCAACCTCATTGGATGGAAGATCCAATGAGGAAGCAAGAGTGTATCTGCAGGCACATAGAGAAAAGGAGCAAGAACTCTAAGAGCAGGTAGTATGTGGAAATCCAGGCAGGCTGGCAGCATCAGAACAATATTCTAGAAGGTACTGGAAGTCCAGGCTCTAGACTGGAGTTCAGGGGCAGGACTCCTTCACTGCTAGGGGTTCCCAGCCCCCAAGTAGCCAAGGAAGGGACTTAGGCCCCAAGAATCAAAGCAGAAACACAGTTCCCAGTACTGGGGCACAGAAAGAGCTAGATAGCAATAGGGATGACGTGTGCAAAAATATATCAAGAGCGTGTAGCTAAAACTTTTGAAGTGCTACTTCCTAGAGTCAGGAATCACAAAGGCAGATTTACAATTAGGGAGAGTTTGAAAAAACTCTACATAACTGATGGAAGAGGACAAGAGTAACACTCCTGTGACACTACCCATCACCAGCAAGGAAAGTAATAGACAAAACAAACAAGCAACCTGAGAGGCAGTTTGGTATGGTGGTGAAGTGCACAGACTCTGGATTCAAACTCCTGTTAAGACAAAACATTATTTCCTGCTTTAGCAATAGTGTTACCTTGGGAAAGTTCCTTAAACGTTTGAGGCCTCAAGTTCTATCTATAAAATTGAGAGGGGTGTGTTGTAAGGTTTCATGATCAGTGGGACATGTGTGGCACACTTACATTTTTTTTGCCTCTCGTCTTGGGATACTAGCGTTCCACCTATAGCACATGCTGGCACTGGTATCTGGTAGGACACGTATAAATGTTTGTAACTGAAGAAACTTTCAGTGGTGCTGAATCAGTGTTTAGAGGATATTGAACGTGAGGGGATGCATCCTGGAGGTGTGAGAATAAAACTTTTGTCTTTTTTGGCCTTTGTATTTCAAAGCAAACCTTGTAATTAATGTGTATGACTTCCTGTGTGCCACTTGGAAGTTGTGGTTTTGGTGATGATGTTCAAATGAATACCTTATTTTCACGTACGATACAGTATCTACACACAAATCAAGGGGCACTTTTTTCGTTTGCAAGTCACTCTCCCACTCTCCACCCCTCAAGTGTTTTCCTAAGTGCGATATGCTAATAGCACCATGCAACAACTGGGGCAGAAGTGACCAGGCTTCCTTCAGACTTGCTCCCCTTAGGCAGCTTACTATGGATAGGAAATCAAAATAGGAAGATTCTCTTTTCTTTTGAACAACAGCATAGTGGTTAAAGCATTTGACTGCTAACCAAAAGGTTGGTGGTTTGAACACATCAGCTGCTCTGCAGGAGAAAGATGTGGCAGTCTGCTTCCATAAAGATTACAGCCTTGGAAACCCTGTTGGGAAGTTCTTCTCTGTCCTAAAGGCTCACTATGAGTCATAATCAACTCCATGGCAGTGAGGTTTCTTTGAAGAGTTAAGCAGGGTGCCAAAGGACTTTGTGCTTTAACAGCTGGGAAGCACTTAACTGTCAAAGCATCCAGAAGGGGAGGCAGAGGATGCAGCACGAAGGAGACTCGAACGACATGCAGCCATTGCACAGCGTTCCCTGTTTCCAAAAGTTTCACACAAAATAAATCTGCTAAGAATGAAAAGATTTTTCTCATGCTTCATCTCACCTATCCTACCTCCAGAGTGCAGAGGAACGTGTCTGTCACGTAGTATTTATTACCTAATAAAATATTTAAGGAGCTCTGGTGGCACAGTGCTTAAAGCATTCAGCTACTAACCAAAAGGTTGGTGGTTTGAACTCACCAGCCATTTAGTGGAAGAAAGATGAGGGAGTCTGCTTCCATAAAGATTTACAGCTTTGGAAACTCCCCTGCAGGCAGTTCTGCTGTCTTAAGGGGTTGCTATCAGTCAGAATCAACACGATGGCAGTGGGTTTGGGTAACGAAATTTTAAAGTGACTGAACTATTCAACATGTATTCCATTTCTGAGAAAGGTTCTATCAACCAAATCTAACAAACATAATTTGACCATGAAAGGGTTGAATGTAAACTAAAGTCCTTTCTGGGAATCTTTCAAATCCTCAAGCCCTAGGACCTTCCTCTTCCTGTACAGTCTGAAAAACCTTGAGAATCATTGTGTAATCTTAGTTCATACAATAATCCTGACATGTTTTATCATTCCCATTTCAGAGATAAGGAAATGGAGGCCCAGCAAGTCTGCATTATTTCTTTAAGATCACATGACTAAACACGTGATGGCGCCAGGCTTACATTTTAGTTTTGCCAATTCTAAAGTGGTTCATTTTTTTACTTTTATGTTCTTCAGTCATTAGACTTGATTTCCATACTTTGGGCCAGGATCCCACTCTCTGTAGCTGTCTATTCACCCAAGTAGCTCTCACTCTGAGATTTCTAAGTCTACACTCTGAGCCGTCATTTGTTCAGTTTGCTCCTTTCAGCACCCCCTTCTCTTGTTATTTATGGTGTTGTGAGCCCATATGGTCTAACTCTCATTTCTTATTCCTGTTAAATGTCTCCTACATCTCTGTTTTCTAGCAGTCAATCTGACTTTTCTCTGAAATAAAATTCATACGTACTTGCTCTTTTCATCCATTTTACAATGAAAAAAATTAGTTATGTGCAAAGTCGGTGCTAAAATTGTAATAAACAAAAGAGGGTGAAACAAAGACCAGAACAGTTAAGAACTCCAGTAGTTATTTTCTCCTCTCTTTTATATTTTGATCTTTATGAGACAAGGAAGGTGACTTTCATGTCTAAACATTGGAACAACCTCAATTATATTAATATTACAATCATTATCATCTTCTAAAGGAGATACTAAATGAATATTTTAATGGGAAAATGTATTTACTATTTACCTTTAGGAATACAGAAATGCCACACAAACTGAGTGTGACCCCAGTATATGTATATTTGAGGTAATACCTGTTTAATTAATACTTCTCACAGCCATGGGAACCATTGCTCTTTTGGAAATCATATACATTTGCTTTTAAGTCAAGATTCCACTCTGTTGTATGTTCAGTTCAGTGCTATGGCAGTTAGGCAAATAGATGTAAACCCTGTCACTAAACTTGAAAAGTTAAAATGCTTACTAAATTATGTTATTAACACAACTGTAAAAAACAAAGTGCAGAAGCACAGTAACAAACATATAGTTGTCAATACAGCTGTCTTATAAGTGTAAACTACCATATCATCAGATTAAAACAAAGCAAAACAAATGTCAAAGGTAATTTTTTTCATTGTTTGTTCTTTCTGACCCTTCCCTATAAATGCAGTGGCTAATCCTGATAATTTATTCTTATTTAATCTATGAACAAATTTGGTGATACCAGATACTACTGTTAAACAACAACATCATCCGATTAAATAGCTTACTATTATTATTGAAACCTCATCAAAATTTTAAAGCCTATTAATGGTTTCATGCAACTTAAAAATATTTTTCCTTTTATTTGTAAATAGCTATTATACACCAGTGTTGCTATCAATATACATATGGTGTTAAACATGCTTATATTCTTAAGAGCTGGAATACAGACTTTACAATATATCTGAAACATTATCAAATACTGTTAACAATGCCATTACCGTATGTAAGAGCATTGAAAAAAATTATTGGCTGGTCATATACAGTACATTTTTCTGAACTGAATTTAGAAATTTCCTAGAGGCTAACATGATAACAAATTAATCATCTTGACACGGTGTATCACAATCCTCTTTCAGAAAGTTCACAAGCCTTTCTTACTGCCTTTTTGTAAACGATCCTGTAAGGGAAAAAATATGACTTAGGTAGGTATATCAAAGACTAAGAAACGGATTCATAGATACAAGTGCTTTTCTTTTTGTAAAAATGGCTCAGTGGTGTTAGACCTCTAACTTCACAAGCTGGGAGGATAATCATTATCAACATCAACCCAAAGCTGATGATTCCCATGAGGTGGAGGTCAGACATACCTCCACCATCCAACCTTTTTACCAATTTTTACCAGCCATCCCTCCCACAGCACTCTCTGCTTCTCTGCTGGGTTCAGTAATTCATTGCAATGGCCACACAGAACTCACAGACCATACTCACAGCTCTAGGGCTTACTAGGGAAGAAATAAGCTACAGTTCAGGATCAGGAACAACTCAGATACAGTTCTGGCCAGGACAGCTTCTTCCCAGCTATACTCACAGGCAGGTCTCTCTCTCTTAGCCTCTTGGCCCTGGGCTCTGCCCCGCGTGGTAAATGTTACAAAGCTCCTTAGCCACCAGAGGCACTCCACTTTAACAGGAAGCCTCTACTGGAAGGCGCTCAGCTCTCTCTTGTTCTACTCCATGGGTTGAGGAGCCCAGCTCCATTAAGTGCTTGGAGGCACCCCACTCTACCTTAAGCCTGTTGCCAGAAGTGCTCAATTCTCTAGCTCCATGGGTCAGGATGCTCACTGTATCACCTAGTTCTGTGGGCTGGTAAACCCAATGCTCCATCTTGTGCTTGTCTCCTGGTTCTGCTGCTGCCATTTCTCTGCTTTTGTTTCTCACCATCTCTGGTGTTACAGTTCTTCGTCTTCTGGGTCTAGGATATTCTCAGTGCAGGGACCCTAGGTGCAAAGGTTGCGTTCTGCTCCAGGCTCCTCTTCTTGGTGGTAGTGAGGTCCCCTCTCTCCAGGAACTAGCTCACTTTAAGCCAAGTAGGATGGCAAAACTGACCAACCCCCTTATTAGGGTTCCATACACCTTGTTTGCATGGTCTCATTCCCACAAGGGTGCCATGCACCTTATTTGCATTATTAGCAGGCTATCTAATCCCCTTAGTGGGTGACAAGCACTTTAGTTGCATAGTCCACATAGTCATTTTGTGGGAGCAACAAGATCATGAATGGCATGAAGGGCCATATTAAGTAATTCATATAAATTAATTTTTAAAAACATTCACCCTCTGTGTAGTTACTATGAGACTACTGAAATGTGAAAACATAAATTGAGAAAGTCTCAAATTTAAAAAACTACACCATTTATGGGTTTTGCTTGATAAAAATGCCTAGAAGGGAAAACCTAACTTTTGTAAAGTTCACTTTTTTCCCACCTTAATATGACTTTCACAAGTGACACCAAGAAAACAAAGTTCTAAAACATTCCTTGCAAACCCAGTTAGGGTTTTTGGCAGTGGAAGAATGAATGGAAGTAAAACCAAAACCAAATAAATACAGTGTCTTTTTTCTTTATCTTCAGATATTTGCCAATAGAACTGGCTTCTCAAATTATATTCTTTGCTGATAATGTTATAAAGATGGCTATTACACACCATCTAAAACTGGAGGAAAATGGAACAGAAAGAAACCTTAAGAAATCATTTGGCCCCAATGATATATCACTTCATACCTGCTAGGATGGCTACTATTAAAAACAAACAAACAGAAAACTAGAAAATAATAAGTGTTGGTGAAGGTATGAAGAAACTGGTAGCCTGGTCCATTGCTGGTGGGACTGTAAAATTGTGTAGCCACTATGGAAAACAGGTTTGTGGTTCTTGAAAAAGATAAATACAGAATTACTATATAACCCACCAGCCACTCATTGGAAGGAAGATTGGGCAATCTACTTCTGTAGAGATAACGCTTAGAAACCCAAGCAATCGAATCAACTTGATGGAGTTGAGTCTGGTTTTCGGTTTGGTACATGACTCAGAAGTCATATACCCAAAAGAATTTAAAACAGGGAATCAAACAGATACCAGGTTCAGTGCAGTGCTATTCACAATAGCCAAAGGGTGAAAACAACCTAAATGCCCATCAACAGAGAATGGATAAACAAAATGAACTATATACATACAATTCAGTCATAAATGAAGTTCAACTATATGCTACAGTATGGATGAATCCTGGAAACTTTATGCTAAATGAAGTCAGATACAAAAGGACAGATATTGCATGATCTTTTGTGTGTGTGTGTATGTGTGTGTGTATAATAGACAAGTACATAAAGATAGAAAGTTTAGTGGTTACCATGGGTAGGGGAAGGGAAAATGGAGGATTATTGTTTAATGGGTACAGTGTTTGTTTGGGGTGATGAAAAAGTTCTGCAAACAAATGGTGATGACTACACAACACTGTGTTTAATACCACTTGTTGTTGTTGTTATGTGCCGTCAAGTTGGACCCGACTCATAGCGACCTCTCCTTGGGTTTCCGAGGCAGTATCACTACGGAAGTAGATTGCCCAACCTTCCTTCCGAGGAGTGGCTGGTGGGTTGAACCGCCAGCCTTCTGGTTAGCAGTCAAGTGCCTTAGGCACTAAGCTACCAGAGCTCCTTAATACCACTAGATTGTATATTTGAATATGATTAAAATGGTGAGTTTTATTTTATGTATATTTTACTACAATTAAAAACAAAGAAAAAGATTATTAGGACTAAGAAGGTAAATGTCTACATCAAGAAAAAAATCTCCTAAAATAGAATTGTAGAATGTTATCAAAGCGCTCTGGTGGTATAGGGGTTAAGGCATTTGGCTGCTAACCAAAGGCTGATGGTTTGAACTCACCAGCTGCTCCATGGAAGAAAGATGGGGAAGTCTGCTGCCATAAAGATTTACAGCCTTGGAAACCCAATGGGGGTTGCTATGAGTCGGAATCAATGGTAGTGAGCAGACTGTACTGCTTATATACAGGAAGTTCATCAAGCACTTGTTTACGCAGGACATTAATGCTTTCAGAGCAACTTGAATAACATTAACTTTAAGAAGCAAATAAAAAGGCAGGATTGAGAGATAAAGGTACCATTTTCATATGTTATACATACGTATCATACCACTTTAGACAAAAATCAAGGCTTTAATGGAGCTGTTATTATGGGTAAGTTCCTTAAGTGGAGGGTGATTTTCCAAAATGAAACTTAAACATTGGCAGGTGATGATGGGTTTGTGTTGCTAATAACCTCTAGTTGGTTCTGCTCTTTCTTTTCAGAAGAGAGCCTGGGCAAACAAGGAAAAGCAAACACTACACAAAATTTGAAGGTCTGTAATCTAATGTTTATTTAGTGACTATAACAGAATGGGAGGCAGAAGGGGAAATCCAAGTGGATTTGAAAAATGCAAAGTGAGATTTGTTTACAGTGAAGAAATCTCTTTCTCCCTTTTCATCTCTGTTTCCTTAATATTTTAAAGGAGCTCTGGTGGTTGACTGCTAACCAGAAGGTTGTCGGTTCAAACCCACCAGCCATTCCACGAAGGAAGACAGAGCAATCTACTTCCACAAAGATTTATTGCCTCAGAATATTTTAACAATCCTTTATGATTATTTCACTTAAAGTACATCAACTATAAGAAACGGAGGAAGCTAGTAAGTTTCCCAAAGAACCTAAGGATTTAATTTAATTACTATAGGTTTGACAATAGAAGTAAAATTCATAAACAAAAATTTGGTAACAAGCTTTTTACCATAGATGGTAAACATCTGTTTTGCCTCTCAAGGTAAGGTTCAGAAGGTGAACATCGAAATGTAAGTAACAGTCACTTCTAAGAAAATGGTTCTCATTTAATGATGTCTAAATGTCAGAATCTTATATAGATTCTTGTCTTATGCTCTCTAGTGGTGCTATAACATAAATACCACAAGTGGATGGCTTTAACAAACAGGAATTTATTCTCTAACAGTTTAGGAGGCTAAATGTCCAAATTCAAAGCTCTAGGGACTGGGTGAAGGCCCCTTGACCTTGGGCTTCAGCCCTGCCTCTTGTTCCAAGTCCACTGGAGCTGGAGGTGTCTCCTAACTCAGGCCGCTGATGGCTGTTGAAGCTGACGAGAACCCTAGTTGGCAGGTAAAATGGCACAATCCCAAGACTGGTAGCAACATGGCAGGCCATTGGTTCAAGTCCAGGTACAATCCCAGTATCAGCAGGTAACACAGCAGCCACTAGTTTAAGTCCAGGAACTGGAGATACAGACTCAGCCAACTGCAGGATCCAGATGTGCCAAACAGCTTGAGATTTTTCTCAAACCTTCACCATATACACTGGAAGCAGATCATACCTGGATGATCTTCCCTTCAACCATCAGCTGCTCATAGAAGATTCCACCATGGAGATGATTACAATCTTATCATGGAGAATAACTAATCCAGCTGTCACGCCAATCAAGACCAGGCCCAGCCAAGTTGACACACAACCTTAACTACCACAGTTCTCATACTGGACATGGGAAGGGGTATGGGGATAGGGAAAACAATGTGATCAAACAAGACATAATTAATAGCATCTGGTGGTTCAAACCCACCAGCCACTCCTTGGAAGGAAAGATGGGCAATCTACTTCCATAGTGATACCACCTTGGAAACTCAAGGAGGGGTTGTTACAAGTTGCATGAGTCAGATCTGACTTGATGGCAGTGAGTTTTTTTTTTTTTTTTAAGGGTTGTTTAAAGCTTTCTTTGTTTAAAATGATTTAAAGTGCCTTCCTGTACAGGATCCTGCTTAATGTTCATAGAAGCCCCATGAAGAAGGTATTAAAATTCTCATCTGAGTAACGAAGAAGCCAAAGTGCATGGATATCAAATGATTCACCCAAGGGTTACAGAACTGGTAAACTAAGAAGCTGAGTTTTTCTTCACCTTCAAACAGATTTTTTTTTTTTTTAAAGGAAATTGGTTTATAGGTGATGTGAGAATAGATATACCAAACACAGTAGTGAGGCATCTCAGGTCTTAACAACATTAGAGAGCTACCACCACTCCTTGGGCTAGAGGGACAAGGAAAAAGACGGTGTTATGGAGTGCAGGAGCCAGAGCCTGTT